TTTTATAATGCAATACAGTAATGATGCAGTAAGTGTAAAATATCGTAGGTAATTCTTTTAATATCTTGAAAACTCATGAATANCGAACAGTGGTCTAGGTCAAATAAGTTTTCGAACGATCATAAGAAACTCATAACTCTTTTGTTAATGGTTAAAAAACTTTTACTAATTATCTTATTATAAAAAAACAAATCAATTAAAAACACAAATTACCAAACATCAACAACTGGGCACACAAAAAAAAAACATTAATGAAACAAGACGAAGACAAACAATTTTTTTTTTTTTTTTTTTTTTTTGTTTGATGGAGCGTCGAGGGGAAAATCTTCATAGACACCCCAGCTAATCCGGTGGTAGCGTCGGATTCACCTGGTGTGCCTACTGACTGAAAACTAACCTCCCCGCATGGGACAGGTACATGAGGACCACTTCCCTAGAAGACAAAAGGGCATAATAGGAGAAAGAAGAAGGAAAATAACAGAGAATTTCGGAGGCCGACTCGCTCTCGAAGAGATGAGAGGAGGGGGCACTTACGAATCTAGGCGAAGCTGAGGCAAACAATAAAAGATAAAAAAGGATCTTAAAAAAAAAGCAAACACAATAGTATACACAAAAAAAACATACGAATACAACATCTAAAATAAAAACAAGAAATCTAAAACGATACACATAAAACGAAAGATTCACAAGTAACACAAAAAAAAACAAGAAACTACTGGCACAAAAGTACAACGGAACGCTATTGTAATTCTCCGACGACAAATCAGCACATGTATGTATCAAGTTCGGCGTACTAGTACAATATGACATGTATTATAATATATTTATAGCCTATTCGCTCACCACTCAAACCATCTCTCCTTAATAACAACTTATACGCCACCTGCAAATCTCACCATCCGCACATCAACCGTCAACTTAATTTTTTTTAATCCACGTAGCATGGCATCAATGGTCCTATGGGCTTAAATACCAAGCCTTAGTGCTAAGTATTTGTTGGAAAGATACGCAAAAGTCATCGCTACAAGGATACGAACAGTCAGAATGACTTTCTAAACTAGAGGGTGACTTATTATTACTTCTCACGTATCACGTACGAAAAATTAACAAATAAATAATTAATAAGCAAATATAACAACATATTAAATAATAACCCAAAACACCATGCGTCACTAACTGTATCACGAGAAAATAAAACTATTCTTAGCTATCAGCTCACATTGTTATAATTATGTAAAGACAATATTTCATACGAGTGTTACCCTAGCTATATTCGAGTTATGTAAAACATATATCTGCAAAATGATAGATGACTTTACCAGGCACGAACTCACCTGGCAAGTAAGAACTTGGGGGGGCGTGTCACGTCTAGTGATGTCTACCCTCAGTCGGTAACATATACCTTATGGTGTTTGTCACCTAGTGAACGCACCCACAAAGCGATATCAACATACGCTTGGCCGATCACGTGCATACTAGCCATTTCCGCCCCTCATTCTACCCCTGCCAAATTCAAGATCTAGCTTACGTTTGCAGCTGCTCCTTCTTAGAATATGTTAATCAACTTGACCTCAACTCCTTGACTTACCACTAGTTCTATCCGATTATCGATCTTATTTAGGGTTTAAATAGAACCATGCCCTGTGATCTCGTCCTCTTCCCTGGAGAACCCATCAACCAACAAGCAAGTAGCCAGTATTAACTACAGCAGTTCATATTATTAAACGCCCAATTGTCTAAATTATCATTAAAGTACTTGTGATACAATAAAGCAAGTTTTGCCTACATTTCAATTGAGCTTTTCCTTTCTTATATTATATTTTCAGCTTAGCAAGCAATTAACTTTGATGGCTAAACCAGGAGAACTGTCAGCTGCTAATCGTCCATTATTCGTAAAGTTACTGGTAAATTACTTTGAGTAATTTAAATTCGTTACAAATACTGCTGAACTTAAACGCATTTACTGTCCATGCGCTGCACGCTACATGCAAATTCTCGCGCGCTAAAGTTACGTTGAAGAGCCATGGCGTAACAGGAGGCAAAGCCCTTTTTTATGATTAACAGGGACTGTAAAATGTTTCATAGACTGCTTTTTAGATGAAAGACAATGACCAAGCCTTTCAAAGTTAGGCAGTAACTTTAGCCAATCTGTTAAAAAGAGATTGAAAATCTTACAGCATTTAGACCCATTTCAGATAGCAAAAGGTGTGTTTGAGAGCAAGTTTATATTTTTTGAATGAACTTGATAGTGCTAAACATAAAGGTCAGTTTTATTTTACAGGTACTTACTAAGGTTCTAAGAAGTTGTAAGCCAAACATCATGTATACGTTAAGTCATCTTTTCAATTAAATAGGGTTATTGACGATGAATAAGTTATCGTATGAACTCATTTTTATCTTCATGACAATTTCTTCTAGTCAGTTTTCATAGCGATTCTTTGTTAACATTAAAAAAGTCTTCCGTAAGATGTTATAGCCAAATCTGTAGAAGCCTTAGTAACTGCAGTCTGTATTGGACCAAGAGCCCTAAAAATACTACTATAAAATCATTTTTGTGTGTCTGTTAATAAAAAATAAAATTTGAAGTTGTTGAAGTGTTAAATGAATTTACAAAGAAAGTCTGATACGTTTTTGATCTTAAACTCATCTAATTAAACACTTGTGCAGTTAAAGTTTTAATGACTATCAATTCGGCTTCAAATTTATGCTTGGTAAAGTGCTTTCTTTGTATACATGTATGCAGACAAAGAGCAACTTGTACTGTTTCTAGAGTACGACATGCTTAAAAGTATTAAGATGAGTGGTAAACTGAGAAATTTTACAGTAGAGCGTCCTACTTGTCATAATCGTCTACCTGCCAATTCATGTGGCCCTTTTATTCGAATACCAAACTTAGGTGTATTGCATTGCTGTAGGCATATAACAATATTACTAAGGTTAACGCTTTGATTGGAAATATTATACTACTGTCTTTAAAATACTTTTAACTGCTTAAATAACGAACAGTGGTCTAGGTCAAATAAGTTTTCGAACGATCATAAGAAACTCATAACTCTTTTGTTAATGGTTAAAAAACTTTTACTAATTATCTTATTATATCCCTAATTTTTTTGTCTTGTACTAAAGCTTGAGAAAAAATAAAAAAAATTTTTTTGGCTTAATGGTAATTTAGAGTAGTGCTCAGAAGCGCTTTGAAATTTTTATGAAGTTTACAGATAAACATTTACATTTCCGTTAGTTTTTATACAGTTTAATTTTTTTCAATTCGAGTACATGGAACTTAGAAATTATCAAATAAATGAAAACTCTACATGAAATTTAAGCGGATTACCGTTGATAATTTTCTAGAACTACTATGGTAATTCCTCTACAAATTTTATAACTTTAAAGTAATAATCTTTATTTTGATTACCGAGTAGTACATGATTATTGATTATGTAATTAAAATTTTTTTTTTGCTTCTTAAATTAGTGCTGCTCAATACTCGCACAATCTGTCAATTCTCTATGTGTTTTTGAAACAAGTAGAAGAGCTGTGCCAGAGATTTATAGACGATTTGAGTCAGAGAGATCAAAAGACGTTTTACTAGAGTAAAGTCATTGACTAACTTGGCCACGAGTATATAATTTTGAGGTTCTTTGTTCTAATATAGCAAACTAATTGAATTAAATTTACTTTGCTTACTTGTCACCCTTTCATACTTATTACTTTATAGGAACGATGTCTGGTGAGTCTTGAGACTTTTATTTATTAAAAGGTACGAATTCTAAAGATGTGACTAATCTAACTAACTGATTTTGTCAAGTAGTATAACTTGAGAAATAAGTGATGTTCTTATAAATATTCGTTTCTGCAAAACTTATTGATCTTACTAACATATAAAGCAAAGTCGCTAAAACCGTTGTAATCGCTACTTGCGAAAACTACCAAACCGATTTTGCTAAAATTTTGCGTACCGATTCTTGACACTTTCTAGTATAGTATTAGAATAATTAATAAGCAAATATAACAACATATTAAATAATAACCCAAAACACCATGCGTCACTAACTGTATCACGAGAAAATAAAACTATTCTTAGCTATCAGCTCACATTGTTATAATTATGTAAAGACAATATTTCATACGAGTGTTACCCTAGCTATATTCGAGTTATGTAAAACATATATCTGCAAAATGATAGATGACTTTACCAGGCACGAACTCACCTGGCAAGTAAGAACTTGGGGGGGCGTGTCACGTCTAGTGATGTCTACCCTCAGTCGGTAACATATACCTTATGGTGTTTGTCACCTAGTGAACGCACCCACAAAGCGATATCAACATACGCTTGGCCGATCACGTGCATACTAGCCATTTCCGCCCCTCATTCTACCCCTGCCAAATTCAAGATCTAGCTTACGTTTGCAGCTGCTCCTTCTTAGAATATGTTAATCAACTTGACCTCAACTCCTTGACTTACCACTAGTTCTATCCGATTATCGATCTTATTTAGGGTTTAAATAGAACCATGCCCTGTGATCTCGTCCTCTTCCCTGGAGAACCCATCAACCAACAAGCAAGTAGCCAGTATTAACTACAGCAGTTCATATTATTAAACGCCCAATTGTCTAAATTATCATTAAAGTACTTGTGATACAATAAAGCAAGTTTTGCCTACATTTCAATTGAGCTTTTCCTTTCTTATATTATATTTTCAGCTTAGCAAGCAATTAACTTTGATGGCTAAACCAGGAGAACTGTCAGCTGCTAATCGTCCATTATTCGTAAAGTTACTGGTAAATTACTTTGAGTAATTTAAATTCGTTACAAATACTGCTGAACTTAAACGCATTTACTGTCCATGCGCTGCACGCTACATGCAAATTCTCGCGCGCTAAAGTTACGTTGAAGAGCCATGGCGTAACAGGAGGCAAAGCCCTTTTTTATGATTAACAGGGACTGTAAAATGTTTCATAGACTGCTTTTTAGATGAAAGACAATGACCAAGCCTTTCAAAGTTAGGCAGTAACTTTAGCCAATCTGTTAAAAAGAGATTGAAAATCTTACAGCATTTAGACCCATTTCAGATAGCAAAAGGTGTGTTTGAGAGCAAGTTTATATTTTTTGAATGAACTTGATAGTGCTAAACATAAAGGTCAGTTTTATTTTACAGGTACTTACTAAGGTTCTAAGAAGTTGTAAGCCAAANATATAATTCAAGGTTTTGCAGTAATATACCTAAGCAGCTTACTGCAAAGAATGGCAATTCTAAGTTTATTTTATTTTTTTTTAAAGTTTACATTACTAAAATAGAGAGCAGTATCTTGCCAAAAAGTTTAAAAATAAATGAGTTTGAGAGCTAATTTTAATAATTAACGCAATTAGTCCCGATCAAGCTATATTAATTACGTACAAAATAGTTGAACGTCAACATAAGCTATATCCTATACAATACTCTACATCAAAGTTAAGGGCATTCAGTATATCATTGGGAGTTCCTCCCTTACCAACTCCCATATTTATTGTAAATTTTATACTAATTTAACTAACAAATCATGATACACTAACACAAATTTCACCTTTCTACATGCACAAGCACACCCAAAGTTCCCCACCCACCGAGAACAGGGAGTGCGTGAGTGTATGTACGTATAGTTGAAAGAAAAGACGAGACGTTGGCGAGCTAGCTCGTATAAGAGAAGTAGGGGAAAGAAGAGAGAGAAACGCGTATTGTAATGGGGCATTTTTTATCACCAAGAAAACACTATTTAATTAACAAATAAAAAATTTTGAGCATATAATGAGAACTGAAAACAAAAGTTGTTCTTATAGCAGTTATAAAAGAAACACCTTACCTGAAGGCATTGCACTCTTCACCAACGCGGAGATCCATTTTTCTTATGGTATTGTCTATATGGCAAATTTTTTTGGTTATAGGATCAAGCATCTCCACTGCAGGAATACCTTGTCTGCAAAATTTAAAATTGAATCTTTGTCTTTTAATAATTAATTTTAAAACTTTTTCATAGTTTGATTGTTCAAGATTCTCACAAAAGTGACAAATTAACAAATACTATTTTTCACACCTCATCAAGTACAATGAGTTTACAAGTATTCAATAACGTTTATTCATAATTTAAATTTTTAGGCATATACAAGAAAAACAAGAACAAATAATAAGTTGTTAAAGCAAAGAAAAAATTTATTACAGTACTTAGTTAAACGATCTGTGTACAAAGCAGACTATTCAAAGTTTTCTAAGCTATTCTAGAAATAAACAATATCTACTAGGTATAAAAGTTTTTATTAAAATATAATTATTACATGTAGAATAACAAGAAATACACCGCTACTGTAAGAGCGTTGCTAAATAAAGAAAAAAAGTCGCTCTTTTACAATTTTCTAATAATGCTACATTCAACTATTCCTTAAAAAACCATTACATCTTATGAAAACAACAACGACATTTGTGTTTTAACTATAAACTCTTTATGTTTAATTACTCACACTCTTAAGCTTCAAGAAAAGAATTAAAAATAGTATTTTAAAATAATTATCAATAGATATTCTCCATGACGTGCCAGCTAGAGTAACACGGTGTTAATGTTGTATTACATTATGGTACCCAAAAACGTTTGAACCATAGTTAAAAATCAGAAAGTTTCCATTGCTGATAATAATTAATATTTATACATATTATCAATACAGTTAACAATAATTAAATTTTTTAATTAAGTAACCAACAATGTAAGTATAAAATTGTTGGCTACCATAGTTAAAAGATCAATCTATAAATCAGCAATCTTTATCTGTTATTATTTATTGTTGAAACTTTGTCATAAAGTTAACAGTTAAAGTTTGAAAATAACAAATTTTATGTATTGCGTTTCATCGTAAGCAACTTATAATAGAATTCTCCATTTAATTGTTGATACGTAACCATCTTTTTTTATTAAAGTATAAAAAATGTTAATTTGTAAAAAAATAGATAGACTCTGCCAGATCCAGAATTCGATTGACAATTTTGAAATGTGAATTTGTAAGAAAGTAGATAGACTCTGCCAGACAATAGAATTCGACTGACAATTTCAGCACAGTTATCCTCTCCCTTGTGGCGTTCTTGAAATAGCTATTCTAGGACTGGTATTAATTGTAGAACAGCTTGTTTCCTACCTGGTAGTCTTAGCTTGCTTTTCCTTGCTAAGTGTTTTTGTGTTAGCTGGTCACACTTTGCACAGTGCTTCCGTTCTTAACTTAGTGGGGGCTTATACTGTAGCTTGCATTGTCAACGTCAAAGTGGCTTATGTTTCTGTTTGAATGTGTGAAATTTCTGGCAACTCATGCGTGTGACGGTTTTGTTCATATTAAAATTTTTTTTGTGTAACCAGGAGTGTTGCTATATAATCTTATCCTACCAGTTCATTTTAAATAAAAGTTATACACTTACAAGACTAGTCTCACAAACACATATGTCTTACAATAATGAGTTCATTATTATTTGAATATTTAAACATAGTGCATTCTTACAGCTCTTCTTTATTGAGGTTACCGTAATTAACATGAATCCATTTCATATAAAAATGAAACTATTTTATTTACTTAACATAATAAAGAGATGGCATGAATTTGTAGGCTCTTACATGATGTGAGCAAGAAGTAATTTATCTTGGAAGGTCAAACGGTGTATAGTTTCTAATCTCAGTGAGTTAAAAACCAAATATTCTAAGCCACATTTGTTTAAGATTCTTAATTACTAGTATCTTCGTAGCATTTTTAAGATTTTCTTGTAAAATGTGTCCTACTTCCAAATACAAAACTTTTTTTAAGTCCCAGGTAAGTATGTAATAGCTTAAGTTAAGATGTAAATTTTTATGTTTGCTCTTTTGTAGTTCCTTCCACAAGGTTAATGGTGCTTTAAAAAATACTTATGGTTCTATATCAATAGCTCTTAGTGAAAGGATGGCCCCCTCCCTAATATATAACGGAGCAATAACCACTTTTTCATAAAGGTTGTTAATCATAAATTTTTGCACTTGTCTACCTCTATAGCACTTATTTTATATTTTAATTCTTTAAATAACAGGCTGATTTTTTTGTGAATAAATACAATATTTATTAGTGTTCTAATTTCATCTACTTCAACTAATCTTCCATAAACCTGTAAAGAACTTCTTGATGGTCAAAGACACAAGCCTTGTTGTTAAATTAAAATACAAATTTCATCGATGGTACCATGTATTGATAATGCAAACGGCTGATATGATAAATGCAAATTTTTAAGTGTGCCATAGATTCGTCAGATGTGACTAAAGACTGAATGCTAAAAGCCATAATTTTGTATATAACAAAAAGTATCTTACTCTTTTTCTACCAGGGTTATTTCTTTTTGGACCAAAATTTTCAATCAACTGTATAATTTTATGAGTTAGTTGTTAACGTTTTTGCTATTTCTTAGAAATCTTGATGCTTTGATAGACCATTTTCTTTGATGCCTTAACAGTTTAAGTGCTGGAGAGCATATTGAGCTGCATGTACAATTTGTTTGATGACAAACTATAACCATTAGTAAGAGGGCCTTATGAGCTTTCATTTACTTAGAACTTCTTCATGAAAATTAACTAAATAAATATCCTGATGTAGTTTACGTAGTTAAATATGATTAACCGTAAGCCTTATAATCAGTAAATAAATTATTTGTAAAAAATCTTTAATAATTTTATGTATCTGTGGTACAGCTACTAAAAGTCCATAAATCGTACAAACTTTGTAGCTATTCATGTAATCTCCACTTATAAGGTTATTTTGAACTATTTATGCATTAACATTTACCATAGCTATAGGTTAGTACACGATTAGAGTGGTGTAGTTGTTTTAAACTCGCATAGTAAGACCTGATAGACGACCCATATAACCATTAGGTCTTGAATCAATGATATACTTGCACGTAATAACACTTCTAAGTATATTATTGTTCTGTTTAAATAAGGAGTTATGTTGCAAGATGGAGATCCTTCCATTACAAATAACTGTATATCTTTGATCTTAGACTTATATCTAATAATACAGTTAATTGGTTGTTGACGTAAAATTTATTACAATTTTTATCGGTATTTGGAATTAAGTTAAAAGATGAGAGTTCTGGCAAGCCAAGAACGTATCTGTGTTTTGACAATAGTTTAGTCAGTGAAAAGTACTTTGCTTCTAAAATAGAGAATGTACTAAAGAAGCTAAGTACTAATGTTGTCTTAGTAGTTGTGTAAGTGTAACTAAGAGTTTTTTTTGGTGTGAGAAAGTTATATGTGTTAAAAAAAAAACTTCAAGCTTTAATGACCGTAGTTGTAACTGCTAAATTTGTATAACAATTATGATTATCTTCTACCTCACTCACTTTTAGATATAACACTAAGTTAGAAGGTGGCTCTAGATCTTCAGAGCTGTGGAAATGTACATCATTTATCAAAAGCTACCGAGTGAGTTCAAGGTATATTCTTGCCATCAAGATTAATTGTAGGTGTTGCAGATAACCTTGAACCATTCGTAGGTTACTTGCTTTCTATAAATAATCTATGAACATAAGAAGCTGCCATAATTTTATAGTATTTTATCAGGTCTTTGTTAGTCACAGCTTGATCAGGCAATTTTACTGCATAATAAAATTTTTTTTTAATTTTTATTTTTCCTTACTCATTTTCTAGCGTGAGGCTTTAAATAGACTTGTCATCAAGTTTTTTGTGGTTTAAAATTGGGACCCTTTTAAGCATAATAGCTCTCATGGTTTTACTGTGTCTCTGAGTATCTGCTAGCCACTTTTTGGCTGACTTAGCAGCATTAATGCTCCTTCTATTTACAGCTAATGCATCAGCTATAGCACCTGTTGAACTCAAACGATTAATCAAGGGAATTAGAGGCAAAACTGTGCTAATTTAAATAGTAAGGCGTAAAATGCAGAGGAATTTAACTTGCTTTCTACTACCATATTCTTAAATTGCTCAACGAGCACCTTTTTAAGCAATACTAATGACATCATGAACCTTTTTGCTTTTAGTATTGATGTCTCAATAGGCAGCTTCAATAGTTGCACTCAAAGCACTATATAGTTCTTTTTTTAGCTTTGCCTTATAATGAAATCTAAAGCTTTAACTCATTGCCGAGCCTTTTTAGCTGAAATTTTATCTGCTTTGTGTCTGACCTTTAAGACTTATCAATTTTTTATGTATGCTATATCATACTATTTGCACGATACGTCTAACGGATTCACTCCTTAATTTCCTTTATCAAGACACTCAGCAAGCTTAGTACCCTGACCACAATACTTGTAGCCTAGTAAATGGAGCCTTACTGTAAAAAATTTATGGTTCTATAATAAGGCCTTGTCCTTTTTAATAATTTATGGTAATAAGAATGTATGATAATAATAAGTTTTTGATGTTGGATCATAACTAAGCTCTCGAGAAAATGATTAATGTTCTTACAGTTGGCAAATTCATTGTAATAAATAGCTTAAACTATAGAAACACTATACTATGTAGTTGAAAGGTTAAATGTAACTGATTTTTTATCTTGTATAAACACAGTTTAAAGAGCATTCGATACATTTACAAGTTCCGAATTTCAGCACTATTGTGAGACAAGAATGTTGTTTAAATTAGCATGGTAAACTTCTGCCCACAGTACTCGCACTGTATTTTTCAATCCATTAAATTGTGGTAGAACAAAAAGCATATTAGTTTAAATCGTGTATTCTAATAAAGTTAGTTTTTAGAATGTGTACGTTTTGAATGTGATTTTTAAATAAATTTTTTGAAGCTCAGGGAGGGTATAAAACGTACTTTCCAGTAAAAAAAAAACCGCCGTCTTGCCTGATAATGGTTTACCAAATTGTGTTATGGTTTTTCATAATAAAGATTGTAAAAAACAAGTTAATACAAAGGCAAAAACGGCAGGCAAAAACGACTCAAATTAAGTTTGA